TGGCTTGACAAGCGATGTGTCAGTGTGCGCCCAGGATTCGAACCGTCGGACCCTGGGCCGCCACAGCGGAGCGCGTGCACTTAACCGCTTGCGCCACTGGGCGGGCCCACCTTTGTCTGACTTCTGTATCTGTCATTTTCCTTTCTTTGCTCACCTTTCTCTCTTCCACCCTCTAAATTTCATGCTGTGTTTTCAGCCTCTTCTCTGTTGTTTCTAACATGGCCTTTATTTCTATGATGCTTTTATTTTTTATTTTTAAATTTGACCAGCCACATTTCCAGTGCTCAGTAGCCACATGTGTCAGCCGCACAGTTCTAGAAGAGGACTAAAGCCTTGAGTTCAGTTGACTTGACTTGCTCCCTTATTTTCCACAGTACTTCAACCCCCCAAGGTATCTCTGGGGAAACCTAACGCTCTGAAACAATTTGAAAGTCACTGCGATAGTAAAACCACATCACGGATGAGATGAGTTTCATGTAGAAATGACCATGGAGTCTGTAACGTGTGCTGCAAGACTGGGGATTCCCCCCTGCCTAAACTTTCATATCAAGGAGACTACATGGACCCTGTGGCATACAGCTGGAATAGGATTGTAAAATGCTGAGAACCTTATCAATTGAGTTTTAGGGACTGTCTGAAGAAAGCCAACGTGGGCAGAAGTAGGTGGTCTTCCTGGAGCCTAGAAAAAGGGAGCTCCTGTGCCATGAAGCACCAGTGTCCAGTGTTGTCCCAAGAGAGGGGCTGATATGATGGGTCTATCCCTGCAGCAGAAATGGGAGCTCCAGCTGGTCAGAGCTCCCTGCCCCTGGCCCCTAATTTCCTTGGCTCTGATCCCAACCTCTCTAAGCAGCCTTCAATTGATGGCTGGCTTCTTGGAGAGATTTCCTAAAGGGACAGAATGTACTCACTACATTCTGTAGTGAGTGAGGCAGATGTGTTCTTCACTCAAATGAATCAAATGGTATCTTGTTTAGAAATTAGTTCCTTGCCAATTGCCCAGCCCAATTCAATTTTTAAGAACACTGACTAAAGGGGATTTCTGAAAGCTGCAGAATTAAGAGAGGCACCTAGGACCATGCTGACGCCACCGAAGCACTGACACTGGACTCCTGGGCACCCAGCTGAGTAGCTGAGTACTGGGGTGGTCAGCCCCACACTCTGGCCTGACCTAAACGCCTGTGAGGGGATAAGCCTAAGGAACGTCTCCAAGAAGACCAGCCAAGAAGGCTCAGAGTGTGTGATGTTGGTAGTTGGGCACTACAGAAGGGATTTCCTAATAGTACAGCTCACTTCAAAAGGAATTAGGAGTCAGTTCCCTTCTTCAGATTATATGTGGCTTTCTGCTATGGCATTATGGTGCCACCTCCTGGATGTCAACTGAAAAATCGAGACTAAATTTTTAGTCTCTAGTCATGTGCATTAAAAAAATCTGAAGTAGGGCCGGCCCCATGGCTTAGCGGTTAAGTGCGCGCGCTCCGCTGCTGGCGGCCGGGGTTCGGATCCCAGGTGCGCACGGACGCACCGCTTCTCCAGCCGTGCTGAGGCCGCGTCCCACATACAGCAACTAGAAGGATGTGCAGCTATGAAATACAACTATCTACTGGGGCTTTGGGGGGAAAAAAAAAAATCTGAAGTGGAGGCCATGGTAGGTTCTAAACTTTATATTCTGCGTTATACTTAAGGAACTACATAACCAAACCCCTAAAGTCTGTTAAGAGGGGGGATGCTGGTAGCCCACAGCCCAGAAAGAACTGCTTCCTGAAGGTGGTGCATTTTTAGCTGTTTGGAACTTTAAACACTGCAGAGGTGCCACCTACATCCTCTGGTTCTCTCTCCATCCCCTGGCTGGCGAAGGAGTGAGGAATGGCCCACAAGAGTCCAAGTTCTCTGTTCCTGCCTCCAGCGGAAGGCTGAGCCAGGTTTTTCTTTCCCAGGTTCTGTCAGTGTACAGTGTAGGCAAAGCACCTAGCAGCGTCTGGCAAGTAGTAGGCACCCAAGTTATTAATAAATTATTCAGAAATCATTTTAGCAGGAGTAATTATCATTTATTAAGGTAGGGGTGATAGATGGCAGATGCAGTGCTAGAATATCACCATGATACTAGTCACCAGAGTTGGATAACTGTCTTTCAAACCTCATTCCTGGGCTGCCTCAGAGGCTGTCTCAGCACAGGACAAAAAAAGCAGTATAATCAGGTCACTTTACACACTGTCTAGCTGCTATTCACTTAAAATTAACAGGGGTAGGCAGGACTAGAATCATGTTATTAGACAAATAAATGTTATAGGGGTTGGAGATTTTGTGTCCTTGGTCCCAGGTCACTGGGCCTGCCTCAATATTCTTGGAAGACCAAGGCCCAGCCGAAGAAAGCTGCATTAACTAAACTTCCACAGCAGGTCAAGGTGCCCAGGCCTTACCTGTGATTGTCACTAGTAGGGAATGGCCCTGTGTGGGACAAGATGGCGTTAGACTGCTAAAGGCAACCTCGTTTGCTGAGGAAGAAAGGGAATTCCTGTCCTCAAACACAGCTCCTGAGCTAGTTCCTCTGGCAACAGTTTTTGATGACAAAGTGTCACTGGATGTATCCTCTTTATTAAAAGATACTGTATATTTCTCAAAAAAAGAAAAAAAACTGATCAGGCAAGAAAGTTCCTATGTTAAAATATGGCCATTTAAAATAAATAGATTATTGTAATGGATATTTGTTGATTCCTATCCAGCATCTATTCCTTTCTTCATAACTTTTCCCAATTTTTATTTGGGTATCTACCTCTCTCTACTCACTCATTTGCTTCTGAGTAGGCTGACTCCATCTCCAGCTCTAGGACAGGCCTTGATTAGTCTAAAACAGTTAGGGTAATTCTCCTCTCTAGTCACTGGTTTAGGTAACTGGTGTCATGGCATGTCATTCCCTGACAATGGGGGCTGGTTTAGACACTTCATGTGACTTAATTTGGGCTGAGATACAAGAAGCTGATTGAGAGCTTTTGGAAAAGAAATACCACAGCTCTTCTGAGTGGCATTTTTTCCCACTGGAGGGGGTGATATGTGGACCTGAAGCCTGAAAACTGCTGCCTTCTTGCCTCCATGAAGGAAGCAGACCTGCGGATGAAGCTGGCACCGCTGAAGTGAGTCAGGGAAGGGAAAGAAGGGTCCTTTATGACATCACTCGAGCTGTTGAATCAAACCCACCCCTAAGTAAACCCTGCTTCAGGACTGTCCAGGTATGTGAGCTAATAATCCTTTTATTGTTTAAGCCACACAGAGTTGCGTTTCTGTTACTTGTCCAGGAAAGCATCCTAACAGTGATCCTTGTAAAACCCACAAGTAAAATGCCTTTAGAGCACACACTGGAACAGTGTTGAAAAAGAGTAGGAAAAGTTCTTAAGCCAAGACCATATAAAACAGAAGCACATCTGGAGGCAGTGTGGCATAATGCTTTAGAAGAGAAGGCAGCTGAGCGTCCCCCATGCTCTGCCATTAGAGTTTACTGTGATCTTAGATAAGCCACCTAACATTTCTTGTCCTTGGTTCCTATCAACAGAATAAGAGTTGTCCTAGATGAGTGGTTCCCAGCTCTTTTAACAACCATAATTGTTACTGTTGGTCTTTCTTGTGGATTTACTTTTAAAGATTTTGTCTATAGAGACATTTTCTCATGTACTTAGACAAAGGACACAACTGCAAATCAGTTCTTCTGACAGCAAAGGTAATCAAGTTATTTACCTTACCAAATTACTATAATTTGCATTGAATATTTAAAAACAAGATATTTATTATTAGCTTTTGAAGCTTTAATACAGATATGGTTTCTGATAGGCTTTTACAAATACTGAAAATAGCTTCCAGGTCCTCTTTCTTCTTTTAAGGATCTTTGGAGATTCATAAGAACTACTAGATTTGATGATTGCAGTTACCATCTAAGGAGGAAGAAAATTCAGTGACTTCTCAAAAATGATAATTAACATTAAATTACAAGTCTTGATTATTCTTAACTTTGTCAGAAAATGCTCAATAGAGTTTTAAAAAGACACAGAAAACGTTTTTGCATTTAGGTAAGCATTTTAAAATATTTGGGGCCGGCCCAGTGGTGTAGTTGTTGGGTTCACGTGCTCTGCTTCGGTGGCCTGGGATTTGCAGGTTCAGATCCCGAGTGTGGACCTACAATACACACTGCTTATCAAGCCATGCTATGGCAGGTGTCCCACATAAAACAGAGGAAGATGGGCACAGATGTTAGCTCAGGGCCAATCTTCCTCAGCCAAAAAAGAGGAGGATTGGCAACAGATGTTAGCTCAGGGCTAATGTTCCTCACCAAAAAAATATATATATACAGTAAGACTACAAAGCAGTGTGACAGGTTTTCCTCTGTCACTTGTAAACTGGATTAGAAGGCAGTCCCTAGAATTCCAGAAGTGTTGTGGAAATATTAGCATTTTAATTTACAATCAGGATAAACAGAACTCAACTAGGAGTCAAGAGATCTGGGTTCTAGTTGTCATCTTGATCTTGAATAAGTCTCTCAACTTCTGGGTATCAGATGAAATGGGCTGAATCAGGTCATCTTGAATATCCTTTACAGCTCTGTTATTTTGTGATGCAATGAAATCTGAGTAACATGTTCCAAGCTGTTTGGGGTCAGGGGTTTTAGAACCTATAGTCAATGTATAGTACTTTTAAAATTCCTACTTTTTTTTTTTTTTTGGTGAGGGAGATTGGCCCTGAGCTAACATCTGTTGCCAGTCTTCCTCTATTTTTGTATGTGGGACACCACCACAGCATGGCTTGATGAGTGGTGCATCGGTCTGCGCTTGGGATTCGAACCTGCGAACCCCGTGCTGCTGAAGCTGAGCATGCGAACTTAACCACTACACCACCAGGCCGGCTCCATAAAATTCTTACTTCTTTATTGAGTCCTGTTCTTATTTAAATATATATATATATATTTTTTTTTCCATGTTCTGTGCATTTAAAGATATTTTCCTATTTAATAGCTTTTTCATCATTAGCAATCAAAAAGTTTCTCAAGGATGTATTTTTCATTTCTTGCTTTTACTTTTTTTCGAGTTCCTTTTTTAATTTCTCCAGGATCTCTTCTGGAGTCGTGGAGGCCAAAAGCTTCACCACTTTTTCACGAGATTTACCACCCTGGACCAAAAGGAAAAAACGTGTCAAGATAACATACTAAACTTTCTAATGCTACTACTAGAGACAGCAGACTTCAGGTGTACCCATCACAGCTGTGTCCTCATGAGGTTGTTACAGGTGGGCTGGAGCTTTCCTGTCAGCTTAGCTGCCACTTTTTCCTGGTCATTTCTGGTCTAACCAAAGACTGTCTCTTAGATTCCACCTTACTACAAGTTTTTACAGCCCTCTAGGGTTTTTACCTTCATACATCAATTTCTGTAATAATAAAATCTGGGCATTAAAATGTCAAAATGAATGTGGAATCCAGATGTACAATATTCTGGTTTCAAGTAACTCTTCTGTTTAAATTAAAAGTGAAAATTTCTTAAATTCCTAAAACATATTGCAGTTTTATATGAACTTTATATAAAAATAGTTCCAAATATAGAAAAAAATTGCTATTCTCTATACTGTTACACATTTCTGAAAATTCCAAACAAAAAGCAACCACATATCCAAGTGCTGTAGTTCCACAACTACTTAAGACAAGTATAAAAAGGATTTGTTTTGAAACACATCCTTTAAGGTAAAACTTGAGCAGGGATCTATCCAGATGGGGAGAAGTTGCACAGGTAGAAGAGTGAGCAGTGCCTTTCAGGGAAATGTCAGAGCAAGTGCACTGGCAGAAAATCAGAAATGACCTGCCATAGGCAGGGGATGTTGAGGGAAGTGGCCTGATCAGATGGATTTTTAGGTACAGCCTATTAATCAATGAGTCTGAGTGCCAGCTGGAACCCAGATGGGAGCTACAGAGTGCAGAAAACAAGAAGAGCTTTAAGAAATATACACATGGCTGGGTCTCACTCCTGCAGATTCTGTATCATTAAGTCTAGGGTGATGCCCAGGATCTTGTGTTTTAGAAATTGTTCCCCAGTGATTTTGATACTCACCCCTAGTGCAAACCTGTGGTATTAATGACTTCATATGAGCTTTCTCTCTTCCTAATGAGCTTTTCTTAGTGATCAAGGATAACGTGGGGGACTAGAAATAGTTGATGGACTCACTAATGGAGATGACAAACAATAGGAACCTTTTTACATTTTTTAGTATGGTGATGACTTGAAGGAAGAGATGAGCAAGATTAATCTGACAGAGCAGGTACAGGAATGAATTTAGAAAGGAGAAAATGCTGGAAATGGTGGTAACTAAGGAATATAATTAAAGAGTGTGGACAGTCTGAATAAGGATTGAGGCAGTACGAATGAAGGAGAGTGGGAAGAATTCACAGACTTTAGTGATTAAATGAATATGAGAGTTAAAAACAACTGGTTTTTCAATTATTTGGAAAAGAAAAATCACTTTTAAAAATAATGACTGATGTGTAATAACCAAACATGCAGAAAGAGAGAGAGACCTACCTTATCCAAAACCACGTCACTCTTCCTAAGTTCTAAGACCTTGGAAAGGTACCGACAGAGCTCGGCGTTCGCCTCTCCTTCTGCCGGAGGTGCTGCAATAGCTATGCTCACAGCCGTGGCTGTCAAATCTGGAAGGAAAACAGGTGGACTTTATCCTTGAGTTCTTTTTCTTCATGAAGGGAGGCTATTTTGTGAAAGCATTTGCATTTGCCTGGCACATAGTAAGTTTTCAATTAATAACTGTTGAATGAAGAAATGATTAAACTAATCACACTTAAGGCAACATAAACATGATAAATATGCCTCTACCATTACAGAAAAGAAATCTCAAGAAAATTGCTATTTACCCCACCCTGCTGACCAAGATGGGCCAACAGAGTCCTGGGCAGTATCCTGGATTTAGGCAACTGGAAACCAATGACAGGAAGAGCCCCAGGCAGGGAGTCAGGAGCTGGGCATTAGCCCCAGCAATGTCCCCGAGGCAGCGCACTGGATTGTACAGGTCGTTCAGGGTTTCCTCATCAGGAAAATGAGGGCACTGGGCTAGACTCATCTCTTATGTGAAATGCCTCTTTAATGTTTTTAAAATGTAATATTTACTTAAACATTTACACAGCACTTATATACACTATGTATAATTTAAGAGCACACAAACATGTACTTTAGTGCTTTATAAAAATTAACTTGTTTAATCCTCATAACAACTTTATGAAAAAATATTTATACCGTTATCTCCATTTTTCAAATGAGGAAATTGGAATTGGAAGTAATGTGTGGAAAGGCACATGGCTAGAAAGTGATGTTGTGATTCAAAAATAAATTTGAACTCATGGTTTGAAATCCAGGGACAAAGAACATTGCTTCTGAAGAGTGGTCCTGACTCCCTCATCAATACAGCCTTTATAAAGAGAAACCTGCCTGTCGTCTCCACTGTCTCTGAGAGAGAGAAAGTCTTTACTCAGAGCAGTTTGCAAGTGAGCTTGAGCTGGTCCTACATCTGGGGTTACTCAGGCATTTCCACACACACTTAGTCCTTGCCTGTGGAAACAACATGGCCACAGAATCCACAAGAATGAGGTGGTAAAACAACTCTCCTCCTATCCTGTCACTGATTCTAAAATGCACAGTTTTTCACATTTTATCATCTTTGAAATCCAGATGTCTTAGAATAGATGGGGGGAAAAAGTGTTTAGTTGATATGGATTTTGTCTTACTGGTACATAAAATACTTGTGTACCTTATAGTTGATGGCATCTTAGATTTGATGCAACATGGTATCCAACAGTAGACAGTGCCCACAGGGACTACTTAGAAAATGCTGACCAAGGAGGGTAGAGCCAACAAACAACCAAGTTAACATGGCCCTTAGCACAAACCAGGCCTACCACCCCAATTCTGAGGTCTTGTTTTCAAAATATACATATATATTTTTTTGTGAGGAAGATCAGCCCTGAGCTAACATCCATGCCAATCCTCCTCTTTTTGCTGAGGGAGACCGGCTCTGAGCTAACATCTATTGCTAATCCTCCTCCTTTTTTTCCCCCAAAGCCCCAGTAGATAGTTGTATGTCATAGTTGCACATCCTTCTAGTTGCTGTATGTGGGACGCAGCCTCAGCATGGCTGGAAAAGCAGTGCGTGCGTCCGTGCGCGCCCGGGATCCGAACCCAGGCCGCCAGTAGCAGAGCGCATGCACTTAACTGCTAAGCCACGGGGTCGGCCCCCTCAAAATATATTTTTAAAAAATTGGAATACAGAGCTTTAGAGTTGAAAAAAACCTTCAAGATAATTCAGATCAACAATTTTCAAACCTTTTTCCCCACTCAGAATCCCCTCCCCCCAATTTCCCCTGGAATCCCAACACTTAAAACAAATGTAAACACAGCCACTCAGGACCCCTGTCTGCGGGCCTCCCCTTGCCCACCTCAGAGATTCCCTAGGCACCTTTTGAGCTCCAGGGAATAGCTTGAAAGTCTAACTTAGTCCAGTGATCTCCTCTGGCAGATGAAAGAACTGGGCCCAGAAATGTTTTGTATTGTTTTGATTCAAAACAAGTTCATACAGAACTTGATGACCAGGACTTCAAGATCTCAGGTTTTCGCTCCCTCCTTGGGCTAACGGTCATTAAACTTGACCAAAACATCTTTCTTTCTCTGGCCAATGTCTGCAGTTTGGAATAGGACAAACTAAAAATAATCTAGGCTACACGTTTTCTGTGTATGTCCTTTCTAAAATACCTTATTTTTCAAAAAGAAAATATTCAATGGTTTTTAATCTAGCTTAGTATTCTTTAAATATTGTATATTCACTTTTAAACACTGGATTTACACCTTTACATTAGAATCTAGAATTTAAAAATGGAGAAGCCTCTAACTGCAGATGTGAAAATATCCTTGACCATATAGGGTAAACTTTCAACTACCCAGGTAAAGGGAGGGTGGAGGGGACACCTGATTCATACATGACTCCCGCCTCAGAGTCCAGATATACCTGTTATAGCATTTTGTTTGGAACCAGGTTTGGCATGGATGGCTATGGTGACACAACCTTTAGGATCAGCTGCCACAGGACCTAAGGGAGGAAGTGGTGTCTCTGGTTCCTTGCTCTGGCTTTTACCCTGAAACAACAACAACAACCACGCTACAACTTTACAGCTTACAAAATATTTTCCCACACACTTGATCCTTCCACTACACCCTTTCACCCTTAACCAAGACAAATGAAGCTAATCAGTCCTGTCCAGGAATTTCTGACTACCTGGAATGATTTTCCAGCATCTTTCATGGCTCAAAGTCTTCCATGAAGCCTTCCCATTGACCCCACAAAGCATTTTTTTCCTGCCTGGGAGACCTGACTCTGACTTCCATACCTTCATTCTGGCTCCTACCTTCTGCTCTGTATTTCCCATTCTTCATGGCAGAGACCATTTATTATTCACCTTCGTGAATAGCACGAGCTAATAAATCTTTGTGAACAGCCGTGGCTGGAAGTGTATATGTTTGTGTATTTGGGGGGAAGGGGGAGAGGAAGGAATGACAGTGATATTTAAAGGCCTACTGTGTGACAGAAGCTGTACTAGGAACTTTTCGATTCAACAAACATGAACTAAGGACCGGGGCAGTATTCAGGCAAAGGATACGGAAAGACGAATAAGGACGCATGGTTCCTGCCCTCAAGGAGCTGGCACTGCAGCGAGGGAGAAGGCACAATATCACTGTAATCCCCTGCGAAGGGCTCCCTGCGCAAAGAGAGGGGAGCAGTCCAGCCTCGGGGCGCAGGGGAGATGCTGCCGGGAGGCGGTGCCTGAGCTGGGTCTCAGGGCTGGAGTTCGCCCTGCCGAGACGCGGAAGGGGGGGTGGGAGCGGTGTATTCTCCATAGGGGGTCGCCATTAGCCGGGTCGGGAGGCAGAAGCAGCACAAAGCCTCCGGGAAGCGCAGGCCTGCGAGCGGGCAGATGAGGCCAGAGGTCAGGGGCCGCGCTCGGATCGCCCGGGTGGACGGGACGCAGCCGAGGCGGGGAGGCGGCAGCAGGAGCCCAGGGCAGTGACCACCTCTGTCCCGCCGGCGGTCCCTCTTCTGTCCCTGCGGCCCGCCCTCCCGCCGCCACCGGACTTGCACTGGCCTTGGTGGTCGCACCAGCTTTCTTCGGCATCTCGGCCCCCAGAGCGAGCCGGGTGGAAGGCCGAGCAGCAAGTCTGGCCCCAAGAAGCCTCAGCCGGCCGCCAAGCCGCAACATTCCCACCGGGGAGGCGGCCCGGAGCCGGAAAAGCCCTCTGCGCCTGCGCACAGCGGGAGGGCGCGGCCCGCCGCCGCCACCTCGCCTGCGGTCGGAGCGCGCCAACTCCCGGCCGGCGGGAGCAGGACCTCTCGTTCCTCCAGGACCAGAGAGACGGGGAGCTGGGCTCTGACCCTGCCATGACCCGCCTCCCCAACAGCAGGTGGGAGGGCTGTGTTACCTCTAGTCTTCTGTCCCCTCATGGGAAGAATGGTTTGGAGTGAGCGGCAAGGAGTGCCCAGGGCCAGGCGTCTTCTCGCTCCTGCAGCCGACCAGAGGTGCGGACGGAGCCCCACTGCTGCCCATGGCCGCAAGTGAGGTAGAACCTCCAGCTGCCTTAGCCTTTGGGCGCATTCCAGGTATTGACCGAGCACCCACTTTGCGCCAGGCGCTGAGGGTCCCACAATGTAAAAGAGGAGGAAATACAGTGATGTAGCAAGAGATGAAACTGGAGAAGTTAGCAGAGGCAAGATCGTAGTGTCATTGAAGGGTTTGAGGCAAAAGATTGGTACAGTTCAATTTGTTGTTTTAAAAAGATCACTGGCTGCAATGTGGCCCATGGAGGAATAGAGGTAGGGAGATATGCCATGTAAATGGAAGTTGGTGGCCTGAACCAGAGTAGTGGCAGTGGAGATGCAGAACTGAGAGCTGATCATTTCAAGGATATTTGGGAACTGGAATGATCCGAGCTTGGGGAAGGCCTGGATGTGGGAATGAGAGGGGTCAACGAAGATGCCTGGGTTTATGGGCGGAGGAGCAGGTTTGGGAGTCTGAGGTGAGTTGTTCGGTTTGGGACATAATGAGTTTGAGATACCCGTAGGACATCTAAGTAGAAATATTAAGGGGGTAACTGCAAGTCTGTGACTGAAGCTTGAGAGATCTGGGCTTGTGATAGATTCTGGAGCCCTCTGAAAATAGATGGTAATTGAAGCCATGGAAGCTGATGAGAGACCGGCTCAGAGAGTACAGAGCACGAGGGCTCAGGACAGAACCCTAAGAGGAGGTAAAGAAGAGAGGCCACCAAAGGACACTGGCCAGATGTAGGAGTACATGGCAGCCAAGAAAGGACTTAAAGAGGGAGTGGTTAACAGTGACGAATGCCAGAGAGGACATGTAAAACAGAAATGAGTGGTGTTGGTGACCCAGGCAGGAGCAGCTTCAGTGGAGAGGAGGAAGTGGAGGTAACACATGTAGAGAGTAATTCAACTTCACTGTGAAGGAGTAACTGGTATCTGGAGGAGCACATGGCATTAAGACTTACTTTTCATTTTTAAACTGGATGAGAGAGAACCATATATGAATGTGGACAGGAATCAGCCAGGAAAGGAGAGGTTATGACAGAGGGAGGTGCTGGGGTTCTGAGCACAGGTGGAGAGGCTGACCTGTCAAGAGGAAGTCTTAGACACCCCTTCCTTCATAAGAGAAGGGAAAGCTTAGGTGCACATGCAGGTGTGTTTATAGGTTTGGTGGGAGCTGGATTTTCTTTCATTAGCTAAAGGAAAGGAGGTGTTGAAGATGTGAAGAGAGTGGAAGAGATTTAAATACTCTGGAGAATGGCAAAGAGCTGATTATTGAAACTCTCACCTGGCAGCACAGATGGTCTAGTTGAAGCTGGAGACCATGAAATCATCATGGCCCCAGTCTATAGTTACATCACTTTATTTTTTTGTGTGAGGAAGATCAGCCCTGAGCTAACATCCATGCCAATCCTCCTGTTTTTGCTGAGGAAGATTGGCCCTGGGCTAACATCTGTGCCCATCTTCCTCTACTTTATATGGGACGCCGCCACAGCATGGCTTGACAAGCGGTGTATCGGTGCATGCCCGGGATCTGAACCCAGGCTGCCAGCAGCAGAGCACATGCACTCAACCACTACACCACGGGGCCTGCCCCAAGTTACATCACTTTAAATGCCTGGACTCAGTAGCCAGAACGTTGAAGATAAGGCAGACAACTGGATTCACCCAGGTGGGTTTGAGCGTTATTGAAGTGGCTAAGGATCAAAGATCAAAAGTGGAAAAGGAAAAAAAAAAAAGGATCAAAGGTGGAGTCTCACTGGGTAGGGAAGGAAGACAGCTGACAGAACAGAGGTCAGGGGATGGCAGTCTTGAGATTCAAGAACAGATGTAATTGGAGTACAGATGAGAGCTGAAGAAGCATCGAAGGTTGTGGTCAGAGAGTGGTATGTCTGAATTTACTATTTCAGGAGTAGTACAATTCCACATGACAAGGTGCACGGTGCAGGCATGAGGAATGGCTGACATGAAATGGTGAAGGGGTTACTGGAGGTAAGGAAGGAATGGAAAGCTAGGTGTAGATGGGTTGTCCACCCCACATGGACTCTGAGGTCACTCCGTATGTAGGCTTTGGTAAAAGAAAGTGAACCAGGCGTTAAACCAAAGCCATATTTTCCTTGTTTGAAATCACTTCAGAATTGAGGCACAAAAGCTGAATCAGCATCATATAGAATTTGTTTTGGGTTAAGTCATGACAGCCTCAATTGGAGCCTTGACAGTTGCGGTGGTGAATTATTAATGGTACGTGGCAGGTGACTAGATGGGTGAAGGCAGAGAGAGGGGGAAGAGGTGCCTTGCAAAGAACCATTCAGCCTTTCCACAGGTGACTCAGGAGTGGGGAGCAGGGAGGGGGGAGGAAAAGCCATCAGCTCCATTTGCCACCAGAAACTGTGCACCTGACTTGCTCCTGCCCCAAATCTCTGCCTTTGGAAGGGAAAGATGCAGAGTGGGAAGATATGTTGCCCAATGGTGTGGGAAGGAACAGGGGCTGTGATTCAAATGGCAGAAAACCCATTATAAACATGTTTATACTGGTTTGTATTTTATTTTTTATCTTCTTTCAGTTTTTAGTAAAGTTGCATTTAAAAACTCCATCTTATCTTAGCTTTGCCAATGGGGAAAATGGAAAATGGATTTTTAAAATGTACACACTAGACAAGAGAGTAAATGAGCCGTGTAGCTGGGGTGCTGGAGGTGACTGGGGCTGGGATCACGATGGCACCAGCCCCTCTGATGAAGGATGCGTTTTGTCTAATTCAAGGGGCACATCCTAGGTTTTGAATCTGAATGACTAGAAGAGAGAAGCATAAAGAAGCAAGTGATTTAAAGGAGATGAGACTAGAAGGGGAGGTGGAACAATAAGTTTTAGACATGTTGCATTTAATACACTGAATTCGAAGACCTGGCTCTCTCTAATGTCATACAAGGTCGTCTATTCTCAGGCAATTTTTTTTCTTGAAAACTAAAGATACTACTTATGTGGACCTAAAAGAAAGAACACTTTGATAATGCAAATCAACAATCTCAATTTGTTGAGCGGATACTAGAATAATCACACTTTTAAAAAATAGAAAATACTTATATTCTACAGTAAATACAGGTTAGCCACGTATCTTTTTGGGTCTTATTGTCAAGTTTGAGAATAGTGACAGAAATGTTATTTTGGGACCCAGCAAAATAGTATTTTCCCAACTCTTAGCTTGGGAGATAGACTTGGGTTTAAATTCTGCCTCCCATCACTTATTGACCTTTTTAAACATGAATTTCTTTGACTGTGAAATGGGTATTATAATAGTACTTACCTCATACTGATGTTGTGAGAGACAAATGAGAATGTGTGTAAACTACTGAGTGCAGAGCCCAGTATACAGTAATCACTCAGGTAGCTATTAATAATACTAAACAATGGTGAGACGGTCGTCACACTGTAACAGTAAATAACAAGAACTGTCTTCATTCCCCTACCTCCTGAGATCAGAACAAGAGAGAGAAACCCGAGACCACGGAACACTGATCAAGCAGCAGATGGAGCAGTAGTTATTGTTGCTATAGTTCCTATGAATTGCTTTAAGGCAGCAGCAAAACATTCTTATTTTGTGTTGCATTACTTCCACAAATTAAAAATAAGGTTAAACCTCAATTAACTAGAACCCTTATTCCAAAATGCTGTCTTACACTCAATTTTTAGAAGGACAAATGACAAAAAAAAGGATAATAGCCATTTATATTTTTAAAATTTCAGGGAATGTCCCATATCAGTAAACAGTTCTGTTTCACCTTCTACAGCTACCTTCAATTACAATTGTTTAGTGCAATGTACTTGAAGCATTTGAAATGCCTCAAACATCAAAAAATATTAACTTATCTCTGGCATACCATAAAGTTTAAGGCAGAAGTATTGTTTTTTCCTATAATGGTTGCTACAGCATATTTGCTGGTCAATCTTTAGTCAACCAGAACTACAAATTCCATAGATATTCCAGTTAACTGAGGTTTATACTCCCAAGGTCATGTTACCAGAGATAGAAATATTTCCCTTTCCTTCAGCAATTTTAAGAGACATCTGCCACCAACACACCTCACTACCTTCTTGAAAGTATAAAATGAAATACTACTTTAGATGAAGAAATTTAAATCCTAAATACCATTATTTAGAAAAAATTAATTCTTTTTAAGTTGATACTTAAAGAATTGTGATTTTTAACCATCTTCCACAACTATTTAATATACCTTAAACTTAATTACACGTGAGTTTTTTATAAGATAATCACTTTCAAGGGAAAAAAAGAATGTTATTTATATAAAATTTTGTTTTATAAAAAAGTGTATAAATGTCATTCTGTCAGATATACTTCCTATCCCCTCCCAATACAGCTGTAGCTGTGGACAACAGTGAGGTCATGAATATTAAGCATATTTTACTTCTTGGATAGCACTGTGTAGGTGACAGAAAGTATACCTTTCAGCAGGAGTGATTCTGTTGGATATCTTTAAAATTTCAAAGCAGTTGTGAGAAATTTTAATACTTTATTCCGTTACTTGCTGTGTAAGATTATCACCACAGTGTTGAACTGATGTCTGTTTACCCGGTCACCATCATCATCTCACTCTTGGGAATTCTTGGCAGCATCCCCCATACAGATAGACAGCTATAGTGGTGCAGTTTAATGATAAAGAATCCAGTCTTAGACTATACCTTTAGATCTTTGTTTATATATCACATTATTGTGAATTTGTATAAACTCCATCTATAGTTTAAAACTGTACTATGTAAGACGTTACTATACTATTACAAAATATCCTTTTCTGTAAATGCATTGAAAATTTTCTCGAGCATTTATTAGGCCTATTTCTAGCACTATTCCAAATGCTAACCACCAGATATTTCAAAACTGCAAAAATAAAGTCAGTTTTCTTAATTTTCTGAAATTAGTTATTTGAGTTGATAAGAATTCTGTAGGAAAACTGACCCATCTGATCTCATGTATCCTTCAAAATAGTTAAGCCTATATGCCCATCTCAGCTAACCTTCAAAATAGTTAAAACAAAAACAAACTAGCTATATATAACAAGAATCTTTCAATTATAAAACTGTTGAAAGACCATGAGTCAGCTGATCTATGAAATTATACAAGATAAAGCTGAAACAGCTGTTTTTTAAATAATTAAACCCAGTTCTCTTTTCCCTTAATTAAGGTTATAAGAAAATGGAAATCTGCCTTTAAATCATGCAGAGATTTAAATCAACATTTTTCTGTCTCCTCTAAGAAACTAAAATGTTTCTTATCTTACAATTATAAATATTCATAACACTCGAACTCCTTTTTGTGGCCAGTTTTTTATGCCTTTGAGACTAGACTGTATGCTACTATTTAGCCAAGAGGTGTTATAATGCTACATTATGTATAAAATATTATTTCTGGTATTTGTCCATCTTCTATTGAAGTGCCATTATTATTGCCAGGGGAACTAAAAAAGAAAAAAACAGTCTTGCTAGCAGTAGGTATTTCATGCACTACTTTCTTCAGTCCTTTTGTGCCATAGTGGGAATCTGGACCCTAAATGAAAACAAAAGGTTCATTAGTAATTTTCATTTAATAAGCACTAAACTTAAAGCAGTGTTTTAATTAGATTGATGATCTATTATATATTATAGTTCATTATAGCTCCTGTATAAAATTTTATGCCAAGTCATTTAATGAGAAATGAAGTTTCTGATGCAACACTAATTAATGATTAAAAATACTGAATGTAGAACTCAGCTATTAGAAAACAGTGAAATGGTTTTAAGAAAATAATTATTTTATCCTCTGTCAAACATTCAGTCTCCTACTCAAACAAAGGGCTACTTCTTATGAGGAATCATTTCTTTCAGAGCAGAGCTGTGCTGAGAGGCACTTCTTTTCTCAAAGCAGTGGGATGTTTTAGCTCCCAGCTTCCTTCTTTCCCCTTTTCCTAAAAGGCTTTACTGTCAGTGACTCCCTGTAACACGCAAGAGGAAACCTTGGGCCCCACAAGTTCACTATGTGGAACATTCTAGACACCTCTTACTTTGAGTGTTGCACATGCTGTGTAGCACACGTTGGGCAGGATCTCTATAGGTTCTTTGAACATGACCCTGAATGTGTTAGCAGTCCCATCACAACTAAATCCGGTATCATTCTGTCCCAGGGTTTGTTTTTTTTCATATTCAATGATCTGTAATTTTTAAAAGAGAAGTTACATTTAAGTTAAACCAACAGAAATAAAATTTCATAGAAAAGCATATAAAGCCCTTAGGAATATAAGAATAGACTACTACATCTCTGTGTTGTAATTTTTCTCTACTTATCTCTAACCACAAAAGATGGCTTTGAACATGCTGTCAGAAAATGGCTATTTATCATTCATTGCAGGAAAGATGGGGAGGATGTCAAATAACTGGGGCTTTGCTGTAGGAGAGAGGAGATTCTATATAACACACATGGCTTCAGAACTGGTTTTTGAGAATGTTCAGATTTTAGATTCCCAAGAGAAATGAGCCTCTACTCCTTGGTAGCCTATGTCTTGTTGCTTGGGAATTCCCGTAGCATTTCCTATATCTAATTGTTATTTACTGAAATTGAAATAACCTTAAATGCAGTATTCAGGTATGTGGATATTCAAAATGTGAAAATTCTGTCTTCAATTTAGTTCCATAATCGGTGCCAGGCACTGAAGAACACCCCCAAGGAGCTTCCAGTCATGAGAGAAGACATGTAAACAAAGAGTTCAGTCCAGTGCCTCCAGTGGGAGAGCTATGCATAAGATGCAGTGCGGCTCCACAGAGGAGGGTTTTAAAAGCTCAAGTCAGAGCTTACTGGGTACCAAGAGAAAGATCTTCCGGGCAAGAGAACACCGTGTGCGGAGGCTGAGGCTCACAAACCTGCCTTTTTGCGTACATTAGGTAAAACAGGCCAAACCAACACATGCAGTGAGAGGTCAGGACAGTGGTCCCACCTCTGCAGGGATAGTGATGGGAAAAGATCACAAGGGGGTTCCGGGGGTGCTATAATGTCCTATGCCTTGATCTGGCTACTGGTTGCACAAGTGTGATTGGTTTGTGAAAAGGGAGCCAAGGACCACTTATAAATATGTGCACTTTTCTGTAGTTTATCACAGTTTAATAAAAAATCAAAATAAAAAAGACATGATGGCGCCCTGTAAAAGAGTAGTAAGACACAAGATTTGGTTGTGGTCGTGTAATCTAGAGCAAACCACTTCACTTCTCGGAGCCTCAGTTTTATCTTTTAATTTGGGGAAAAACCTTGCTCTACCTTCTTCCTAAGGCTGTTATGAGAATCAAATTATAAGACGACAGCAACAGACTATGTTTCAAACACTTTCCACGCATCATCTCAGTCAGTCCTCACAAACTACAAGGCAGGTACCACTACTGTCACAGCAGACGGGGAAACTACAGCTTAGAGTGCTTACATCATGTGCCCACAGTCACACCTGGAGGTGGTGGAGATGACACCCACCCGGGCGGGTCCATCTGTAATCTATCTGGAGGGTGCATGAGACTAGCCATTGGGGGAAGAAAATACAGAGAAGTCCTATTTCTGTTCATTTTACTCAGAGTATTTATATTTTATCACTTTACTATCCCTATAACCCTGCTGCCCTCCCTCAGTTTGTACACAAGAATTCTGGTGTCTTATGTAATACATAAGGTGCACTGAAGGAAGAGTGGGGTTCCGCAATAGAAAAGGCTGACAGCGGGGCCCTAGCTCCTTCTCAGGCCTGCAGATTACACAGCCTGCTTAAGTGGGTTCGTGGATCCCACTGGACAGGATCTTAACGATACTTTATAAAGCATATAAAGTGAAATGGGTTGTGATCAAGAAAATCTTTTACACCTCTCAGAGGTTTACTGTGGTTTTTCTGCACTTAAAAAACATAGAGGGGCTGGCCCTGTGGTGTAGTGGTCAAGTGCACGTGCTCCACTGTGGCGGCCCCGGGTTCGCCGGTTCAGATCCCGGGCATACAGCGACACACTGCGTGTCAGGCCATGCTGTGGCAGCATCCCATATAAAGTGAAGGAAGATCGGCATGGATGTTAGCCCAGGGCCAGTCTTCCTCAGCAAAAAGAGGAGGATTGGCATGGATGTTAGCTCAGGGCTGATCTTCCTCACAAAAAAAACAAACAAACAAACATAGAAACAAAATTTTCTAACTTGCTTTAAAATCTTTCAAATAAAGAATTTCAGTGGGTTTTGAACCTATTTGTTAAAAATATTAACAACGTAATTTTCTAACTGGTTTGTAAAAATGCTAAGTTGACATGAGTGATGTAAATTTATCAGCTGGATTTCACTATAAACTTTAGTGGACAGGATTAGAAAATGAGCATGATTTCATGTAGCAGAGCCAATAACGAGATTCTTCCATTTGGGACAAGGTATTTTTGTGAGGTAGTGAGGTATTTTTCTCGGCTGTCATCAAACGAGGTCTTTGAACTGCTGTATATTTTGAAAACTAATGATGCATTTTGATCACAAAGCTCACCAATGTTTTTACTTTTAAAAACAATATATTAATAACATTTTAGAGAGGGCAGTTTTTTATGCTGATAAAAGTTTGAAACATTGCTTTCTTTCTTTTCTCGTTTCTATTTTTTGTGTTTTAATCTATGTGTAAGTACAGTATTATATATGTATAGTTTGTAAATAAAAGTACAATGAAGATGTGTTTCAAACATAATTTTACCAACTGGGGTGTACAATCAAAAGTGTGCAGACACTGGTTTATTGGGAGGGAAAGAGAGAGGTATTTCACTTTCTTCCAGATTAAAAAATGAGGTGGAGTAGATCTAAAGATGAGGTAAGGTACAGTCAGACAATGAGAATCAGAAGGTGTTCACAGTAGTTATAAGAAATTAGTTTCAAGCCCCAGAGTTCAAGTACCATGAAAAAAGCAGGTGATTTTTAAGACAGTCAATGCACAGCAGGAAGGACTAACAGAGGGGCTTCCTGAACAAAGGAGAGCACCTCATATGCTAGTGCCTCTGTGAAGGACCCCAGGACCCCAATTCTCGGAAACCACATTTTTTTGATCAGTTGTAAAACATAACTCTCTAGGCTTAAAATGCTACTAATAAGCTTTCTAATGCCTTTGATAATTATATTAAAATTTGGATTCTGTCAAATTACAATACCTTTTGTCAAGTTACAATATCTTATTATAAAATTACATGTTTGTTATAGTTCAAGATGATATATAGTGGGAAAAAAGTGTACCTGTATATTCACTTGATAATCCGTGGGACCATGAATAGATCCATATAAACCAAATCCAACTATAGAGATTCTTCTATTAACTGTGAACCTGAGAATAAAGCCAAATATAAAATAACATACATAATTCAGTAAACGTTCATATTCTGAAGGCTTATAAATTTTTTTAAGTGTTACCTGGAACATCTAATTTTGCTAATAAAAAGGAAAACTATCACAAATTAGATATCCTTGGAAATGTCATCTGTTTGCAAAAAAAACTTTCTGGAGTAAATTTTAACTTAATGGGAACTTAAGCAGAATTTATTTTCTATACTATACATTTTTTGAGAGTCAAAAGAATTTAACCTAAATACCCACTTTTGTTGTAATGATAATTTTAGTCCAAATATGTTTGCACATCTCCTTCATGAACACAGAGGTGTCACCTATTAGGCCTGAAGCCCAGCATCCCCAAGTATGATGATTCATCAGCTCGATGAACACTTACTAAGGGCCTGGGTTTGGCACTGGGGAAATAATGGTCAACAAGGCAGTCTCTACCCCTACTGCACTTACAGCCTAACGGAGGACACTGATAAACAAGTAAACAAAGGAATAAACCAATAATTATAAACTGATAAGAGCTGTGAAGGAAGCAGGCTGCTGTAACAGAATATCTGTGGTGGAAGGCTGGGGACAGGACCCCAAGTGGATCAGAATGAGATTTCATTCTAGAACAACTGGCAAGTCCAGTTTGGTCATAACAGTTAACAAATGGACCCACCTTACTCCACTTTATAAATGTATAAAAACTGACATCAAGTACAAATGGCATGGAAAGACTGTATAATCAGAGATAATCTATAATATAAAGCAGTGATCCTCAACATTTTAGGTAACAACTTCAATTATTATTACTATTACTACCACAAATCTACCACTTTATGAGTACCTCCTGTGCTGGGCACTGAGCTTCAGTTCTTTACATGGATTATTTCCTTTAATCATCACAACAGCTCTATAAACTAAGTAACACAGTATTATCTTTATTATCCTCAGTTTTTATAGTTGAAGAAACTGAGGTTTACAGAAATTAACTTGCCTAGATCGAAAAGTGTGGCAGCGCTGGGACACAACTCCAGGTATGCTTGGATCAAAAGCCCACACTCTCAACCACATTACATTCCCAGGACAGTATGAAAACCACCTTAAATTTTTTAAATGCATTATTTATAAGGTAGTTTTTTCTTATTATAAAATAACAACATATTCTCTGTAAAAAAAAAATTAGAAAATGTAGCTAAACAAACAAGGGGAAAAATTTAAAGCATCTCTAAATCCACCATGCAGAGATAACCCGTTTACCCTTTGGGACACTTCCTTTTCAGACTTTTAGTTCTATTTTTTTAACAATGGGAAAATAGACTGTTTTCTATGAACATGTAGTATTTAAAAATCATGTCAGAATGTATATATTTTTGTAACTTTTTTTCATGTAAAAAGGTAAAAGATTATTACTGATTCACCAAATTTAACTAATCCCTAGTTGTTGGATAATCTAGGTTATTTGCAGTTTTTGTTATTATATAACAAGGCCATGATGAACAATGTTATAGCTAAATCATTTCATAGAGCCTTAATTACTTGCTTAGAATACATTCCTAGAAGTAGAATTGTTGGTGAAAATGAAAAGCAGGTTCTCAAGGCTTCACATACATATTATCAACTGCTTTCTGGGGAGACGACACTTTACACCCATGAGAAACGAAGATCTCTTCTATGTCACTCTCAACAACCACAAGCATTTTCATTTCTTTTTGCCATAGAGAAAAGGACAAATTCTATTTACATTTCTTTGATTATTAATGAGTTACAATATTTGCTCATACGCATACTATTTTCTCTTTAATGAAATACTCACTCATGTTCTTTTCCCATTTCTCCCTGTTGATGAGTGTCTTTTTCATGTGAATTTGAAGGACCATGTTACATAGTTATGCTTTGTCAGTAATATCCATTACAAAACATTTCCTGTCATTTATCTCTTGTAGTGGATTTGGACATAAAAATTTTGGATTATCTGTAGCCCAATTATGATCTATGCCAAGTTTAGAGAGGCCTAGCTCATCCTTATAATAAACAAACACTTACCTGTTCCAGCACTTTTCCATTGTTTTAATGTTTTTTTTTTTTTTGGTGAGGAGGACTAGCCCTGAGCTAACAACCGATGCCAATCCTTGCCTTTTTTCTTGAGGAAGACTGGCCCTGGGCTAACATCCGTGCCCATCTTCCTCTACTTTATATGGGACACCACCACAGCACGGCTTAACAAGCGGTGCATCAGTGCAAGCCTGGAATCCGAACCTGCGAACTCCAGGCCACCGCAGCGGAGCGCACGCACTTAACTGCTGCACCGCCAGGCCGGCCCCTCGTTGTTTTAATGTTAAAAATACAAATATTGGTAGATGGCTCTAACTTTATTTTCCCAGTCATTAATCTTTCCCTCACCTTCTAAATCCATTCCTTATATTCTCACCTATGTTAGGTGAGTTTCTGAACTCTGTAGTATGTTCCATATGACACTAACTTATTATAGCTTTACAATACTTTTCATGTTTGATCCCTACTATTCTTTTTAAAAAAGAAACATTTAATCTTCTAGATTAACTTCAGAATAATTTTGCCAAGCCACTCTTCCCTACCAAAATTTGACTTCTGAAAGGAACTGCATAACATACATTGGTTAATTTGGAAAGACTTTGTCTGATTCCAGTTGAAGTTCTCCGGTTCTTCATAAAGGTACTATACTGTACATTTCTTTTTTTTTTTTTTTTTTAAAGATTTTATTTATTGTTTTTTTCCCCCCAAAGCCCCAGTAGATAGTTGCATGTCATAGATTCACATCCTTCTAGCTGCTGTACGTGGGACCCGGCCTCGCGCTGGACGGAGAAGTGGTGCCTCGGGGCGCTCCCGGGATCCGAACCCGGGTCGCCAGCATCAGAGCGCGCGCACTTAACCGCCAAGCCACAGAGCCGGCCCTATACTGTACATTTCTTATAGGATTCAATCCTGCTACTTTATGTTATTTGTTACTCTTGTAAATGGGATGGATCTATTTTTACTCAGTATTATAACTGAAAATGTCAACACTTTAAAAATGTTTTATTTTGGCAAAATATATAACAAAATGTACCATCTTAACCATTTTTGAGTGTATAATTCAGTGGCATTAGTACACTCACATTATTGTGAACCATCGACACCATTCATCTCTGTAACTGAACTTTGATGACATACACGAACATTACTGGTTTCTGCATATACATTTTCTATTGGTTCTAATAGATTTTTAGCTGATCCTGAGGTTATTCAGGTGGATCAGTGGTTCTCAAAAGAAGTCCTATCCCCAGGGAGGCATGTTCTGTTTTCATGAAGGTTTAGGGGCCCTACTGGCAGGGAGCCAAGGACATTAGATTTCCTGCAATGCTGAGAAAAGTCTCCCAAGACAAAGAATCCCAACCAACCTCAAGTGTCCTGTCAGAATTCACGTAGGTGAAAAACTTGTTTATACCTATGAGACTTGAACCTAATTCCATTTTATTTAGAAACCAAAGTTTTTTATGGCAATTTTAATATTTGCTGACATTCATTCATTCATTCATTCATTTATTTTGTGAGGAAGACTGGCCCTGAGCTAACATCCAATGCCAATCCTCCTCTTTTTCACGGAGGAAGATTGGCCCGGGGCTAACATCCGTGCCCATATTCCTCTACTTTATATGGGACGCTGCCACACCATGGCTGGACAAGCGGTGCGTCGGTACACACCCAGGATCCGAACCTGTGAACCCCAGGCTGCTGAAGCGGAGGGCGCACACTTAACCACTGCACCACCAAGCCGGCCCCTTGCTGACTTTCATAAGAGGCAACTACCATATAAACAGAGGAAAATTATGCAGTCAGTTCTTGTTATCTGTGGTAGTTATATTCTATAAAGTTGCTGCAAACACAGAATTAGCAAATACTAAACCACTGCTCCTAGGGGGAATATGTACACCTCCCCCCAACATAGATTATAATCTTAAATCCTAAAAACAACACATCCTAGTAGATTCCATTTACTTTATTTTACAAAAGCGAAAACAGAGTTCAGAAGTGTTAAATGACTTGCCTGAGGCCACCCTACTAAAAGGTGCCAGAGCTGGGATTCTAACGTCCCAATGGCCCAGAGCCAGTGTCCTGCACTAGCCTGCAGTGCGCCCTACCGTCTCCATCTCTGTAAGAGAGCTGAAACAAGGAGGCCGAGCATCGCTTTGTTTGACCTCAGCTGGGAACATACTAGAATCTTTTCCCTCGAATGACTAAAAAAACACTCCAAGTATTGATTTGGGGGTTATAAATAAATTTTAGTGAGTAGGCGAGCTCACAAATACAGAAACTGAATAAACAGGACTGACTGTACTTTGTTTTATTTGGAACCTTTAAAGAAAATAATGTAACTGGTAGCAACGCTGCTCATGGTATTTGAGACATTAATATAACACGGCTGTCCCCTGCAACTGTAGCTGTCTCAGCATGCTGAGACACATACTGCATCCTACTGCTTCAGTTTGTCCTCTAGTGTGGTTTGTCCAAGGGTCTACATACCGAAGTACATATTTTATTTTACTGTCAGTTACATTTATTTCTCCTTAACATTACAACCCTAGGCCATTATATTGATTAAAAGAAAATAAATGTGTGAAGCATATTATCTATGAATTTCATTTCAGGTTAGTAAAGGGGGAATACAAAATATTTATTATAAAAAAGGAGAACTGGGTTTTATGGAGTTGAGAACTACTAATGTAGGTAATGTTATCTGCAAATAATGAAAAAGACCTCTTCCTTTCCAACATTCAAGGCTCTAATTTCTTTACCCTTATGACTACATCAATCGTAATTATAAGAACACTGCTGAAAAATAGCAAGGTTAGCAGGTATCCCTGTGTTAACGTTTCAGTAGTCTATCATGTTAAAGAAGTATTCTTCTAGACCTAGTCTATTAATGGTTACATCTGGAATGAAGGTGAAATTTTATCAAAAGTCTTTCTGACATCTATTGAAATAATCAAATTGTTTTTCTTTGACCTGCTACTGTAGTGAATTATATTAATACATTTCCTAATATTGGGCCATTCTTCTCAATCTCCAAATACATTCTATTTGCTCATATAGTATTTATTCTTCTAAGGTACTGCTAGATTCAATATGCTGATATTTTATGTAGAATTTCTTCTTCTATATGAGTGAGACTGATCTAGAAAATTTTTTGTCTTGTTAGATTCCTGTATAAGAGTTATGCTTCCTCCAATAATTTACCGAGAAGTACTTTCTTCTTTTAATGCTCAAGGAAACGACCTGTTCCTTGATGGTTTGATAAAACTCACCTGTAAAAACCACCTTGTGAAGGGACAGTTCTTTGATAACTTTTAATTCCTTCCATGGTAATTGGTCTATTCAGGCTTTCTTCTTCAGTCAATTTTGATAATTTATATTTGCCTATAAAATGATTCATTCCATCAAGATGTTCAATTTATTAGCACAGAGTAAACCCAGAATTAAAATAAAAATTTCCTCAGTATATGATTATATTCCCATTATTTCTAAATGTGAGTATGTTTTCTCTATTACCTTTGCCAGAGGTTTACCTATTTATTGATCTTTTTAAGGAACCAGCTTATGGATTTATCAATTCTACTATTTTTAATTCATTAATTTCTACATTTATCTATTTCCTTTCTCTTTTGTTATGGTTCTTTTGCTATTCATTTTCTAGCTACTTGGGTTGAACGCTTAAATCATTTATTTCTACTCTAATTTATTTAGTAAAAGTAGTTAATTATTAATGTTTCTTTGTGTGATGCTTTGGTCTCATCCTATAAGTTTTCATATATAGTATTCTCATTGTAAATGATTACTAAATAGTCCACAACTGCATTTTTTATTTCCATTTAAACCCAATATTTACAAGTCCTCTCTCCCTTGGAGTTCTATTTTTTAACAAACTTGTTATTAGTTTCTAGTTTTATTCCAAAGTGCAATTAAATAAGTGGAAAATCCAAAAGGCATGTTTTATGGAAACTTATTCTATTTTGACATTTAACCTAACACAGTGGAGCAAAGATAAATTCCTCAACAGGATTATATGCATGTATCTTTCAAGATTCTTGATTTTTCTTCTCATGTGAGCTTTTATAAATGTATGCTGAGATATTTTCCATGCAATATCTATGCAAAGGAAAAATTCACACTAAACATAGGAAGATTGAATGTATTAAATTGTAGCCCTAAAACTGTAAAAATAGTGTTTGATCAAGTAAGGTCTAGGCCGCAGCTCACCAGCAGTGGCAATCCAAACAGAATACATGCGATAGAAAGCCCAACCCAATCCTTTCTTAATTTACTTGTTTCCTAAGAGGTCCTCTCACTCATAATTCAATGAGGAGACCAGTATATCTCATGGACTTCTTGACTCTTGTATTAACTTAGAAATGTATTAAACAAAGTATAAAATAAAATGTTGGTTAATTATCTCCCACAGTATGAGAATAAAAGCCAAACGCTAACCACTGCCCCACACCACTCCCAAGCCTGCAATATGCCACATACCTGATTCGGTCACTGGTTCCACTGTAACCCCAGCGGCTCTCTACTTGCTGGAATCTATTGATGCAGCATTCCTTCCCTCTGAGGCAGCATCTTGGTCGATCAATATATTCAACTCGGGGTTTAGGATTGACAGTAAAATGAAGAAAGAGATTTACCACTTCACGATCTGACAAAATTCCAGACTGAGCAGGACCTGTAGAAATAAAAATATAAACCTCAAAAAAAGCAACTTGATTTCAATTCCTAACTTTGTAATACTCCACATAATAATGTGAATTCAAATCTGGAAGATGTAAAGTAACAATGAGGTAGAAAAATCTTAGCATATATAATTTTAGCATATATTTAATTAAAACATTTTTCTAAATCCATTTAAGGTAAGAACTAAAATCATTAATAGCTCAAAGCTTCGATGAGACCCTGAGATCACAGAAAGATCTCTGGATTTTTCTATCCACATACCCACTCTTAGTACCAGAGACTTTTGGTCACCAGAAAGAGGAGAGTCATTCCCTGTGGTGGGGAAATGCTTACAACGGCAGCCAGAGCTATCCTTACTTCTCTGTTCCCCAACTAATACCTGTTGGAGGTTAGAATCCAAACAAGGGAATATAATTACAGGTGGAAATAGATGCGATAGTGCTTTCATTCTGGGGTTTAGGAATTAGCAGAGGGCAGGAGCTAAGACTGGAAGAGCTGTGGAAGCAGCATATCATATGTTATAGTTTTCCCATCCCACTGTTTCTGAGAAGAGAAAATTTCCAGGTAGCTTAAACTTATCTAGGAATAAATTCTGTTCCTCATAAAAGATGCCAGGAGATCCCTTCCAAGGCTGGTAAAAACAATCTAAATAAGAGATTGCAAAACACTAGAAATCTGGTTTAGGAAGGCATAATAAATTCAGATTTTAACATAAAACCCCCTTAAAATATCAAACACAAAATATAAAAAGCGTGCGAGACCTGGCCCCAAGGTTCATATGCAGTCTCTGGATAAGGAAAGATTGTAAAGAAGGAAAAACACAATTACAAACTTAAAACCTGCATTTTAGCAAAAAAGAACAGAACTGGAACTGCATAAGATCAAAAAACAGATGGGGATGAAAACTCACGTAACTTTCTCAGAATGACAATGAATAAGACAAAAGAACTAAAATGTTTAAGGTGATGAAAAAAGATAAAAAGCAAGACCAACATACAGGTAACTAGTGCTCCTGAAGAACTAACAATAAGAAATAGGACGATGCAATAATTCAAGACTGTAATAAAATTTCTTAGTTGAAAAAAGAAGTCTTCGCATCATGAAAAACATTCTCAGACATGTACCATACACATACCTAAAGAAAGCAATCAAAGATATGCTCCACTTAACAGAGGGGTGCATCAAAATAAAGAATTCAGGGGCCGGCCCCATGGTGTAGCGGTTAAGTGCACGTGCTCCGCTGCTGGTGGCCCGGGTTTGAATCCCGGGTGTGCACCAGATGCACCACTTGTCAGGCCATGCTGTGGCAGTGTCCCATATAAAGTAGAGGGAGATGGGCACAGATGTTAGCCCAGGGCCAGTCTTCCTCAGCAAAAAGAGGAAGATTGGCATGGATGTTAGCTCAGAGCTGATCTTCCTCACCAAAAAAAAAAAAAAAAAAGAACTCAGGAAAGCGCGTCATAAAAGAACTGATGATAAGCACTAAAACCAACACAACCCAGAATTAAGTCTCATACAGTTGTATTATTGTAACATGGCACATGTGCGTGTGTGTGTGTATGCATGTATAAAATCAGTTACCATGAAGTGGTCTGGAAAGGTTGAAAGGAAGAATGCACCATGTTAACCTTCTTGTCTTAAATAGGAAAGGTCAGTAAATATTGTTTCATTGTGATATGGAGAATTAAGAAAATTGAGGGGGGCAAAAAGTAAATACAAGACTTGTAATTTCCAAATCTCTAGACAGAAAAAAAAAAAGCAAAGAAAACATACTCAATAGCAAAATAGAGAAAATAAAGGGAACACTCCATAAAAACATTTCTTAAAAAGCACTATACAGAGATACTACAGGGAAACGAATATGTATAACAGCAAAAGAAGAAACAGTATTTGACTACATAAAAATATTAAGAAGTTTAGGATGGAATAGCCTATGTCAGAGAACAACAATGGACGAAATCCCTAAAATAGCAATCTCAGGTTAACAGAGAACAACTGAGGCAGTCAGTGCTTGAGAAGGGAAATGTATTGAGATGAAGCCCTATATTTGTCACTACTTTTTCCCCTTGGGATACTTGTTGATTTGCTTCACAGGGCATAAATGCCAAACAGAAACTGGCAACCTAGAAATTGTGGTAGTCCTCACTTGATTGAGGAGACAAAAGCTGGAATTATGATCCTGCAGAAAGGGACTAATAAAGAAATAAGATCAACATTTTGGGCACAATTTCTCCTTGAAGTATTTGCTGATTCTTAAGCTTTGCACGAGCAAGAGAAAACTATGAGACCAAGAAACCAAGCAGAAAGGAGCTGCTAAGAAAGAGAACTGCTTAAAGAGTTAAGCAGACATTTCAGTTGTCTTATAATGCTGGGGAGAAAAATCCCCAAATATTTGAAAATTAAGCTATATACTTATAGCCCATGGGTCAAGAAGAAAAATCACCATGAAAATTAGAAAATGTTTTTTATTGAATGATAATGAAAATACAACATATCAAAACTTGTGGGGGAAAAAAGGATGCTTAGAGGAAAAATTACAGACTTAAATGTATACAGTCATGCACCACATGACAACATTTCTGTCAGTGACAGACCACATACACGACAGTGGTCCCTTAAGATTAGTACCATACAGCCTAGGTGTGTAGTAGATATACCATCTAGGTTTGTGTAAGTACATAATATGATGTTTGCACAATGACAAAATCGCCTAAGGACGCATTTCTCACAATGTATCCCCATCGTTGAGTGACACATGACTGTACACTAAAAACAAATACAGCTGAAAAGCACTATTCTGAGCATTCATCTCAAAAAGCCACAATGACTGACTAAATAAAAAACCCCCAGCAAATTAAAATCAAAGGAAAGAAATAACAAAGAAAAAAGCAGAGGGGCCGGCCCGGTGGCATAGTGGTTAAGTTCATCCGCTCTGCTTTGGCAGCCTGGGGGTTCACCGGTTTGAATCCAGGGTGTGGACCGATGCACCACTCATCAAGCCATGCTGTGGCAGCATGCCATATACAAAATGGAGGAAGATGGGCACAGATGTTGGCTCAGGGCCAATCTTCCTCAGCAAAAAGAAGAGGATTGACAAGAGATGTTAGCTCAGGGCGAGAAGGGAAGGAAGGGAAGGAAGGGAGGGAGGGAGGGAGGGAGGAAGAAAAAAGCAGAAATTAATGAAATGGAAAATATACATAACAATAGACAAAATTAGTAAAGCAAGAAGGTGATTCTTGGAAAAAATTAATAAAACTGATAAACCCCTGGGAAGGCTAATCAAAGAAAGCACAATATACCAACATCAGAAATGAAAAAGGGGATGTAATTTAGATTCCACAGACAGAGATAATAAGAAGATATTATGAAATTCATGTTACAAATGAAAAGTCTAGATGAAACTGTTACAAAAAGAAATAGAAAATCAGAATATTCCTACTTTATTCAAGAAATTGAATCTCTTTTGTCCATACTTCCTAAAGCCATCTATAGATTCAATGCAATCCCTTTCAAAGTTCCAACAACATTTTTCACAGAAATAGAACAAAGAATCCTAAAATTTATACGGAACAACAAAAGACCCCAAATAGCTAAAGGAATCCTGAGAAAAAAGAACAAAGCTGGAGCTATCACACTCCCTGATTTCAAAATATACTACAAAGCTATAGTAACCAAAACAGCATGGTACTGGCACAAAAACAGACACACAGATCAATGGAATAGAATCGAAAGCCCAGAAATAAACCCACACATCTATGGACAGCTCATCTTTGACTAAGGAGTCAAGAACATACAATGGGGAAAAGAAAGTCTCTTCAACAAATGGTGTTGGGAAAACTGGATAGCCACATGCAAAAAAATGAAAGTAGACCCTTACCTTACACCATACACAAAAATTAACTCAAAATGGTTAAAGACTTGAATGTAAGACCTGAAACTGTGAAACTTCTAGAAGAAAACATAGGCAGTACGCTCTTCGACATCGGTCTTAGCAACATCTTTTCAAACACCATGTCTGACCAGGCAAGAGAAACAATAGAAAAAATAAACGAATGGGACTACATCAAACTAAAAAGCTTCTGCACAGCAAAGGAAACCATCAACAAAACGAAAAGACAACCTAACAATTGGGAGAAGATATCTGCAAACCATACATCTGATAAGGGCTTAATCTCCAAAATATGTAAAGAACTCATGTATCTCAACAACAAAAAATCTACCAACCCAATTAAAAAATGGGCAAAAGACCTGAACAGACATTTCTCCAAAGAAGATATACAGATGGCCAACAGACACATGAAATGATGTTCAAAATCACTAACTATCAGGGAAATGCAAATCAAAACTACAATGAGATATCACCTCACGCCCATCAGAATGGCTATAATTAACAAGACAGGAAACAACATGTGTTGGAGAGGATGTGGAGAGAAGGGAACTCTCATACACTGCTGGTGGGAGTGCAAACTGGTGCAGCCACTATGGAAAACAGTATGGAGATTCCTCAAAAAATCAAGCATAGAACTACCATATGATCCAGCTATTCCACTGCTGGGTATTTATCCAAAGAACTTGAAAACACCAATTTGTAAAGGTACATGCACCCCTGTGTTCATTGCAGCGTTCTTCACAATAGCCAAGACTTGGAAGCAACCTAAGTGCCCATCAGGGGACGAATGGATAAAGAAGCTGTGGTATATATACACAATGGAATACTACTCAGCCATAAGAAACGATGAAATCCAGCCATTTGTGACAACATGGATGGACATTGAGGGTATAATGCAAAGTGAAATAAGTCAGAGGGCGAAGGTCAAATACCGTATGATTTCCTTCATTAAGTAGTAGATAATAACAACAATAAACAAACACATAGGGCCAGAGATTGGATTGGTGGTTACCAGAGGGGAAGGGGGGAGGGAGGAGGGTGAAAGGCATAATTCGGTACATGTGTGTGGTGATGGGTTGTAATTAGTATTTTGGTGGTGAACATGATGTAATCTATGCAAAAATAGAAGTATAATGATGTACACCTGAAATTTTTACAATGTTATAAACCAATGTTACTGCAATAAACAAAAAATTAAAAAAAAAAAAAGAAATTGAATCTCTAATTAAAAACTTTTCATAAAGAAAACTCTAGATCCAGATAGCTTCACTGGCGAATTCCCCTAAACATTTAAGGAAGAACACCACCAATCGTACACAGACTCTTGAACACCGAAAAAGGAAATATCCCTAACTTTTGTATGAGACCAGCATAAACTTGATAATCAAAATCTGACAATCTCAGGGGCCGGCCCGCTGGCGCAAGCGGTTAAGTTCACCGGTTCGGATCCCCGGTGCGCACTGATGCACCGCTTGTTAAGCCATGCTGTGCGGCGTCCCATATAAAGTAGAGGAAGATGGGCACGGAGGTTAGCCCAGGGCCAGTCTTCCTCAGCAAAAAAGAGGAGGATTGGCAGATGTTAGCTCAGGGCTGGTCTTCCTCACACACACAAAAAAAGGATAATGCATGACAACCAAATCTGGTTTATGTAAGGAATCCAAAATAGGTTTAATTTGGAAAATCAGTCAATGTAGTTCACCATATTAAGAGAATAAAGAAGAAAACTAAATCGTTCTCTCAAAAGAAGAAGAGAAGCATTTGATAAAATTCATGATAAAACTCTTGGAGACTAAGGGAACTTTTTTAATCCAATAAAAGGTATCTACAAACATCCACAGCAAGCACACTCTGTGGGGAATACTGGAAGCTTCCTGCCTAAGACTGGGATAAGGCAAGGATGTTCAGTATCAGCTATTATATTCACGAATATGCCGGAGGCCCAAGGCCATACAACAGGCAAGAAAAAGAAAGAAAATGTCTAAGGATTAGAAAAGAAGAAGTGTGGGGCTGGCCCGGTGGCGTAGCGGTTAAGTGCACGTGCTCTGCTGCGGCGGCCCGGGATTTGGATCCAGGGTGCACACCGACGCAACGCCCGTCAAGCCATGCTGTGGAGGTGTCCCATATAAAGTGGAGGAAGATGGGCATGCATGTTAGCCCAGGGCCAGTCTTCCTCAGCAGAAAGAGGAAGACTGACAGATGTTAGCTCAGGGCTGATCTTCCTCACCAAAAAAAAAAAAAAGAAAGAAAAGAACAAGTGGAATTATTACTATTTGCAGATGTCATGACTGTATAGACTATGTACAATGATCTACAAATAAATTACTAGAATTAGTGAATTTAGCAAGGTCACTAGATACAAGGTCAACATAGGAAAATCAACTGGATTTCCACCAGCAAACAATCAATTAGGACACGGAAATTAAAAAAACAATCATTTATAATAGCACTTAAAAAATAAAATACCTAGGGAATAAACCTACCAAAAAATGTACAAGACCTCTACCAGAAAACTCAAAATATTACTAAGAAAAGTTTTAAGAGATTTAAATAAATGTTCATGAATTGGAAGACTCAATATTATAAAAATGTCAATTATCTCCACAGCAGTCTACAGATTCAATGCAATTCCAATCAAAATCCCACGTAACTTTTTTTTGGTGAAAACTGACATGCTGATTAAAAAATTTATTTACACGAAAATGCAAAAGACCAAGAATAGCCAAGATTAATCTTGAACAAGAACAAAAATGGAGGACTTTCACTACCAAATTTCAAGATTTAGTATAAAACTACAGAAATTAAAACTATGCAGAATTGGTACAAGAATAAACAAATGTAACAGTGGAACAATATAGACATTCCAGAAATAGATTCATTCATATAGTCATGTGATTTATAACAAAGTTGGCACTGCAATGTGTGAGGGCAAGGATAGTTTTTTAACATATAGCTATATGGGAAAAAATGAACCTTGACCTCTACACCTCACACCATACACGTGTGAAAAACAACACAAAAAACAAAACTGCACTGGATTATAGACCTAAATGTTAAACGTAAAACAATAAAGCTCCTAGAAGAAAACCTAAGAGAATATTTTTATGACTTTGTGGCAGGCAAAATTTCTTAAAGAGGACACAAAAAGCCTTCACCTTAAAGGAAAAGATTGATAAATTAACATCAGTAAAATTAAGATCTTCTATTTATCAACAGACAGCATTAAGACAATAAAAAGGCAATCCATAGATTGGGATATTAGCAATACATATATCTGACTTGTACCCAGAATATACAAAAACTCCTACAAATTAACAAAGAAACAACAAAAGACCTAATAAACATCTCATGAATGAGGATATCCAATTATTGGTATATTTGACATCATTAATCATCAGGGACACAAAATTAAAACCACAATGAAATATGTCCTTACCCTTCCAAATGACTAAAACTAAAAAACTGATAATACTAAGCTTTGAATAGGATATGGGGCAACTAGAAGAAACTCTTAACTCTCTTAACTTGGCAGTTGAGTGTGAACTGTTACAACCACTTAGGGCAACTGTTTGGCAGGATCTACCAATGCTGAACGTACGCACAGTCTATGACTTAGCAACTCCACTCCTATATACTCAACAGAAATGTTCACATATGTACACCAAGTGACATGTACAAGAATGTTCTTAATGGTGCCCAAATAGAAACAACCCAAATGTCCAACAACACATTCATACAACAGATTACACAGCAACGAAAAGAATGAGCTACTACCACACACACCCGTGGTTGAATCTAACAGACATGAGGTTAAGAGAAAGAAGCCACACACAAAAGAACACATGTATGTATGATTTCCTTTATCGTAAGTTCAAAAACAGACCAAACTAATTTATAGAGGCCAGAAAGTAGTCACCTTCAGGAGGGAGATTAATGACTTGGAGGAGCATGACAGAGGCCTCTGGGGTACTGGCAATATACTATAAATTGATATAAGTGTGGTTAAATAGGTGTGTTCACTGTATTTGCTCACTTTACTATATGTATGTTATATTTCAATAAAACAAGTTTATAAAAAGAAAAAACAAACATTGAGTCTGACCAGCAAAAACAAAAACAACTTGGGAGAAAATTGAAACATATATGATAAATCAATTAAAAAAACCTGAATACCCCAACAGAACAACAAAAGTCATGAATGTTAAGAAAAAAAATACAAATGGACAATAAACATAAAGAAATATAATTTTAAGCAATCATGAGATTTTTTTTCTTTTAAATCTACTTGGCCATGACTTAAAAGCAGGTAACACTCAATGCTGATATGAGTAATGAGAACTGTTGATAGACCTAAGATTCAAAACCAAGTCTGTCTGATTTTAAATCAGAAGCATCAACTCTAGGAATCAGAAAGATCTGTCATTATAACCTTGGGCAAGGCACTTGACCTCTCTCAGGTTCAATTCTCTAACCTATAAAATGTATAATTTTTATATATTTATAATATATAAAATATTTTTAAAATAAAATATATATATAATTTTTAAATATATAATATATATAACCTATAATAGCATCTTAAAGGGCTAATAGGAGAATTAAATGAAATTATATACACAAACACATTCATATGTCATGAGATTAGAAGAATGACTAGCACTCAATAAATAACAGCTTCTTTTCTTCTCTCGCACAGGGAGACTGACTGACTGCCCATTAAAATAGTTTCAAATAGACTCTGGTGAAGCTATAGCCGTACCTGCTGCAAACTCCTCAATGGTCATCAGTGGGAACCGGATCAAGGACAGTGCCTTTCCTAGAACTTTCTGTTTGTTTCCAAAAGTCACCGGCAATTGTTGTCTTTGACATTCTGCTTCTGCCCATCGTACAACAGCTCCAAAAAGTCGACTTTCTCTAATGCTAAGTGTGTCTCTTTCTAAAACTGCACAGAGTGTGTCTACAGGTAAAACGCAAAAATAAATCAAATTAGGAATATTTTGCTCTTTAACAAAACAACTGACAAACATGCTTATACATATTAAGTTTTCAAATCTTAATAAAAAATAGGTTAGATACTTAAAACCAGAGACTCTATACTTAAAAATATTAAGGAATTAAAAGAATTAAACTGCAAAGTTTTCTTTAAAAAATCACTATAAGGTTAACATTCAACTTATTACTTACGATACATGGAAGCTTAGATATATTGTCTCCTTACATATTCATGCCATTTATCAAACAAACTCAAATGTCCAGAACAAGATTAATAATAAGTCAGAGAAAAAGCCTCCAAATTAGTAACATACACAAATTCATAAAGTCTGCAGATTACAATTCATTCATTCATTCAGCAAATATTTCTTACTAAGAAATATTCTAAATACTGAGGATACATCATCGAACAGGAAGTAAAAAATCCCTTGCCTTCAGGGAGCTTACATTCTAATGGGGGGAAACAGATTAAAGAAACACAAGTAAATTATGTTAGATGACAAATCTAGGAAACAATAGCAAGGTAGGGGAACCAGAAGTGCAGTTTAAAACAGGATGGTTCGGGTGGGCCTCGAGTGAGCTAAGACTTGAAGAAGGTGGGGGAGGGGTAGAATAAGCCAAATAGACACCTAGAGAGAAAGAGCATTCCAGGACTGCCAGTGCGAAGGCTCTCATATGAAAGTGTGCAAGGCATATCTGAGGAACAGCCAGGAGGCCAGCGTGGATAGGGTGGAGAGCAAGAGGGGAAAAGTAGTAGGCGATGAGGCTGGAAACATGGGGGGAAGTACGCTACAATCATGAAGCACCCAGTAGATCATTCCACTTTTACTTTGAATGAAAAAGGGAACCCCTGGAAGGTTGTGAGCTGTGACACTTTATGTTCTAAAAGGATCACCCTGGCAGCTGTGTTGAGAAGAAAGTGTAGTGGAGACAAGAGTGGAAACAAGATCAGTTAGGAGGCTCTTGCACTGATCCAGGTCAGAGGTGATGGTGGTCTGGACCAGGAGGAAGTGGTGAAAAATGACCAGATTCAGGATGTATTCTGAAGGAAGACTCAATAAGATTTCCTAACAGACTGGATATAGGTGGTGATAGACAGGAGTCAAGGATAATTTCAAAGTTTATAGTTTAAGCAATGGAGGGACTGAGATGAGGAACAGGTTTGGGGGGGGAGGGGGGGAGGGGAGTTTTCAAGTTTAAATCTGGACATACGAAGTCTGAAATCCCCATTTGACATCCAAGTATAAATGTCATGCCTATAACTCAGGCCCTCACTCAGAATCCTTTTTCTCTTATCATAGGCAAAATTAAAATAAGCCCAGTTATTTTTAAGCTCTGGTAGACCAGAAGCAGTAAGTTCAGAGAAACAGGCTTTAGAGGCCAACATACTAGAATGAAATAACAGGGTGCAATCTAACAGGGACAGAGAAGAGAGGAAATTTGTGAAAAGCAGACCTAAGTACTTGAGAGCACCACAAGCAAGTCTTTCATACAAAGAGAAAGAGATACAAAACCACCACCACCACCACCACCACCACCACAGAGGCCTGAGGGCTTCACTGTACAATAACTGAGACTCATGATAATGAGTACTAATAATCACAAGAATCCTAAATTATAGGCAACACATATTGTTTAACAAAGGCAGGTGAAGTAAAATATGTTTTAGATATCTTTCTCAAATGGCCAAAATAAATACCTTGGTTCTTAAAAAAGATTGTTCTAGATATATGGGAAAATTACTTTTATGGAACCTCATTTTCTAAAGAATCTTGATAAAATAGGCATCATTATAAAATATCCAACAGTTATACTTTAAATTAAATTTAAATAAAAATGAGGATGCCATACTTATACATAGCAGAAATCAATGAAAACATTAAATATGATTGAATTACCCAGAAATACATATCTAAGAAAAATGTATTTAAAAAAATTCTGTTCTGCAATGGTCTACACGTTCATACTAGAACCAAGTATTTGGCCAATATCAAACATAGCTATCATTCCAGCAAAGATAGCACAGTTCCCAGAACATAGCAGGGGGTCAACAATATGTTAAAAATGAATAGGTTAAACATAATTTTTTAGGGCCGGCCCCGTGGCTTAGCGGTTGGGTGCGCGCGCTCCGCTGCTGGCAGCCCGGGTTCGGATCCCGGGCGTGCACCAACACACCGCTTCTCCCGCCATGCTGAGGCCGTGTCCCACATACAGCAGCTGGAGGGATGTGCAGCTATGACATGCAACCATCTACTGGGGTTTTGGGGGAAAAATAAATAAATAAAAATTAAAAAAAAAAAACAAAAACATGATTTTAAAAAAAATCCTCAAGCTTTTTTTCCTTCTCTTGTGGCTGAGCAGATGAGTATAAACTAAGGCTCCATGAAGCTTTTTCACAGGTAAATGAATGTAAATCACTATACCTCAATACTTGTAGGATTAGGAATACACAACAAGCATAACATTTAATCATTCAATGGAAAAACAGACAACTTTGGACCTACATGTCTCTACTTTGTATGCTAATAACTTCAGCAAACATAGAAATTTAAAATATGACCAAAAAAGGGCACATTACACTGCCCTTGGCACAATGTAAATTCATTCTGTTCTATCAGTGTGACATATTATCTTCTTCTTTAGCAAAAAGCTTAAGAGAAAAAGAGTCTCTCTCTACTTGGAAAACGGTAAGCACATCCCTCCAGAACACATATTCAAATCCCAGAGTAGAAAAAGCACCCCCAGAATCTAAGATAGCTTTAAAAAAAGCTCCTGAAGCCAGGCCCTTCTTTCTCTCAACTCCTAGACTTCTCTTTCATTCCTAATTTTTACCAAGCACATTTGAGGCAAACTAGACTATGGGGTGGAAATACATAGGTCTTCTATTGGCAGATATGTTATAATAAGAAATTATAGCTGAGAGCCTAATAAAGATCATAAAAACACCTAAGATTATGTTTTATAAATATAATACTGGACTTTAATATAAACAACTGTGAGTCAAATCAAATCAACCAATATTTATAGGTATTTACTCTGTGCAAGGCACCTACTTCAAAATTCCCAGGCTCCAATGGCATGCCTAATGTCAGAGCTATTTAGAAAACAACTTTCAGGAGTAAGTCGCCCAGATGCAGGCGGTATTATTTCAAATGAGAGCAGACTGAAGTATAAATGTAGCACTTGACAACCCCTTAAAGGGAAGGAAATTAGGATTAAATAATACTTCAAACATCCAGTAACTCAACAGACATTCAGTGGCACATGATGTCTACTGGGGAGGACCCCGATCTAGTGCCTGCCCTGCCCTTCAGGACAATGCAAGATGAGTATAAATCCTTCCCAAGGTACCGTGCAACAGACAGGCAAACTAACAATGGGATGTTATTTGAAAAGAGAAACAGACGAACTGTCATGGAAGAGGGTGGGGTGTTAGTTCTTAAGGAATCACTGCAGAAGTACAACTGGAGCCAAGACATTAAGACTGAGTGAGAACTAGCCAAGGTGGGAAGGAAAGGCAACATTCTAGACAGTCAGTCAGTCCAGCTGGTCAACAAACATTAACTGAACATGTACTATGTTCTACTGTCTTTGATGCTAGAGATATAGTGGTAAACTAGACAAAGTCCCTGCCATCAAAGAGCTACAATTGAGGCGGGGAAGGTAGACAATCAACACAAACACAGAGATAAATGAGAATTTCAGATAGTGATAGGTATTATGAGGAAAATAAATCAGAGTAACAGAACAGGGATTATTTAGGAGAACATGGTATCTACTGTAACTAAGTAGGTCTGAGATGGCCTGTCTCAGGTCTCATGTAACCTGAGATCTGAATGATCAAAAGGAAGTAGCCACGCAAGGATTCAGAGAGAAAAGGATTCCAATCAGAGGGAACAGTAAATACAAAGGCTTAAAATAGAAATAACCCTGGCCAGTCTATACGGAACATAGTGAATGAGAGGGAGAATGGTAGGAGATAGTCAAATGGAGGTAGGTAGTGATTGCCAACTGTTTACAAAAAGTCTGTTTTCTCTTCTTTGGATGTGATTAGTCTGCATCTCCTAGCCTCCTCTGAAGTTACGTGGGATCACGTGACTGAATTCCAAACAATAAAATAAGAGCCAAAATGAGGGCGCCATTTCAAGGCCAAAGCTTTTAACACGGAGGTGTTTTTCATGCACATGCTGTTTCCCATCTACCAGCAAGATACAGATAATAACTAGGCCCTAGGGAATGGCAGAGCCACAGACAGAAGGAGCTACTCGCTAGCCAGGAACTTAGCTATCTTGGGATTGTTATGTGAGTGTGAAATAAACTTTTATTGTGTTTGAGACAGTATGCATTTTTGGGTTTATCTGTGCAAATGTGTTGAGCATGCATTTTTGGGGTCTATTTGTTATCACAGCCAAACCTAGCCTACCCTGACTAATACAAGGCCTGGTCATGTCGGGTCTTGTAAGCTTTGTAAGGAGTTTGAATTTTATTATAACTGCAGGGGGAAGACATTGGAAGCAACGAGGTGATACAATCTGATTTAGGATTTAAATCTGCTGCTGGGTAGAGAATGGACTGTATGAAAGCAAGAGTGGATGGAAACAAGGAGACAACAGGAGACCACAGATGTTATCCAGGTGAAAGAGAAGAGTGGCTAAAACCAGGTGGTAGCAGTGGATATGGTAAGAAATGGTCAGATTTAGGATACATTTTGAAAGTAGAGCTGGGAGCACTTGCTGATAAACTGCCTGTGGAATATGAAAGAACGAGAATAATTAGGATTAACTTTTAGGTTTTTGGCTTGAGTAATCAGATGCATGGTGGTATCACTGAGAGTGAAAAAAATTGGAAAGGAACAGAAAAGATCTGACTCAATGGCTCTCTTTTGGCTGTGTTGTTTGAAATGCCTCCAAATGAAGATGTTAAGTAAATAGCTGGGTATATAAATTTGGAGCCCATAAGAAGAGAGGGTTGAAGATAAACACTTTGGGTTCATTACAACGAAGATAATATTTAAAGCCATAGGCCTGGATCAGCTCTCTCTATTCTCCTACAAGACAAAATTCAAACTCCTTCCTGTCATTAGATGGTCCTCCACAATCTGGTTCAAAACTGCCTTGCACTTCCCTTCCTCTACATATACTTCTTCACGCAGGTCCACTTGCCTCTAATGCCTTCCCCTTTTAATTATTCAAATACGATCCATTCTTTAAGCCCAATGTCAGAACCTCTCTGTCAAGATTTTCCTAACACTACTCCAATTTGAGGTAATCTCTCCACGTTTTGGATTTGCATGGTAATTATTTTCTATGTATTTAGTTTAGAAAAGGCAAAAATCACATTTTGCCCTATGCCATCTCTTCTATTAGCGTCTTAAATCTTAACTTTCACAAATTTGTTCCTTGATTCTCTAATAAGATGATGGTTTCCTTAAGAAAAATCACATCTTACCCTTCTTTGTATTTCTTATAGGACCCTAGTATAGTGTCATTGTATTTCTTATAGGACCGTAGTATAGTGTCATGCATATGGTGAGCATTCAATGAGTATTTATTTGATTTGACATCTTTTAAAAGGCAATGAGGTAGTTAAGACTTTTAGGAATATTTCACCAAAATAAAGAAAGAAAACTCTTAAAGAAGCAGACTTAAAACATTTGGAAAAACCACTAACTTAAAAACAGTTCATCCACCAACAAGGCTGACTAGTAAAGTATTACTGTACTTAAAAGGCAAAATTTCAATTCACAATGAACTTACCTATATCAATATCAGTAAACCCTTCTGCGCTTATTGCATCCATTGTGCTTTTGTCTATTGTGTCTAGACAAAGACTAGCAAGCTGAGGTTCATCAAATAATCGAGCCTAAACATAAAAAGATAGTTATTTTATTTTCATAGTTATTTTACCTTGAGGCTGTACATATTCAAAGTCAATACTGTAAAGAGTTATAATTGCTAACTATGTAAAAACATTTACTTAAAATACGATTATAATGTCCATACATTCTTAAAACTTTTCATTCCACAATCAGAAATGAAAAGCCAAAAAAGCACAAATGCCCTGCTGAGATAATGACAAATTCACATCACCACTAACAACCCTGTTATTTTTATTTTGATATGCTTTTATATACAGTCACGCGTCGTATAATGACGTTTCGGTCAACGACAGACCACATATATAACAGTGGTCCCATAAGATCAGTACCATATAGCAGGCTGTACCATCTAGGCTATACCATACACTCTATGATGTTCACACAATGACAGAATCGCCTAACGATGCATTTCTCAGAATGTATCCCCATCATTAAGCAACACATAACTGTACATTGTCTAGTTTCTTATACATTACTTATTTTGATCCTTAAGGAACACTCTAGGTTAGATAAGGCAGACATTATTTTCCCATTTTCCAGATGAGGAAACAGAGGCTCAGAGAGGTGTACTGATTTGCCTAATATCACCTAGCTAGTTATGTTGCAAAGTCAATACTCAAATCTAAGTGTTATGACCTTTTCACTGAAAGAAAATATCAATTGTCAAGCATACCAGTACAAACAGATCAGATGTTTTTTCCCATTTCTTGTTTTGATTAGGGAGAGAGAATGAAGTAAAAGACTTTTAGAACATGGGGGTGGCCCCGTGGCTTAGTGGTTAAGTGCGTGCGCTCCACTACTGGCGGCCCGGGTTTGGATCCCAGGCATGCACCGACGCACCACTTCTCCGGCCATGCTGAGGCCGCGTCCCACATACAGCAACTAGAAGGATGTGCAACTATGACAAACAACTATCTACTGGGGCTTTGGGGAAGAAAGGGAAGGAGGATTGGCAGTGGATGTTAGCTCAGAGCTGGTCTTCCTCAGCAGAAAAAAGAGGAGGATCAGCACAGATGTTAGCTCAGGGCTGATCTTGCTCATCAAAAAAAAAAAAAGAATTTTAGAGCACGAACGCTCTGGGAACCTAAGCAAAAACTATGTCTAACAACAGAAGAGCAAATAAATAAATTCACACAATGGAATATTATACAACAATGAGAATGAACTACCTACAACTATACACAACAACATGGATGAATCCCACAAACTTAAAGCAAAAGAAGCCACAGTACATACTGCACAAAAGAGTATATACTGTATGATTTCAGCAAAGCTAATCTAAGCTTTAAGAAGTTAGAAGTCAAAGTTGAGCTTATAATATGTGCTTTATCAGCATGCATATTATAATTCAAAAAAAACAAGTTTAAAAAGCCAAGGGGTGGGGAGAGGAAGAAAGTGGAATCCAAACTCAAATGAGATTTTAAAAAACCATAACATTGAAAAAGGAGAAGTGATGACAGGTATGCCAATAACCAATTTTTCATTCTGGCCTAGGGTCAGTTCTGTTTACATTTAACAGCAGGGACGAAATGCAAAGAGGTATTCATGCTGGGCTGTACAGAAACCTGCTGAGAATACTCCCAATTAATTAACCATACCATAAAAGACACCATTATTTGGCATGGCTGATGACTCTTCATTTAATTTTAAAGTAAAATTCATTTTCAAAGGATTCAATAACTCAGAAGCTACTGAAAAAATGATAAACATCCCTAACCTAAATGGTTATCTTGTGTTTTATGGGGGATAGAAGAGAGCATTAAACACACCAACTTAAATTCAAAATATATATTATATATGATATATAATTATATTTACTATATAAAAATATATTTTTTAATTAGTAGAAAACTTCTTAAAATTATATAATACTCAGGGGGGCCGGCCCAGTAGCATAGTGGTTAAGTTCATGCACTCTGCTTTGGCAGCCCAGGGTTCACGGGTTCGGATCCCAAGCACGGACCTACGCACTACTCATCGAGCCATACTGTGGTGGCATCCCATATACAAAGTGGAGGAAGATTAGCACAGATGTTAGCTCAGGGCTAATCTTCCCCAAACAAAAAGAGAAGACGTGGCAACAGGTGTTAGCTCAGGGCCAATCTTCCTCACACATACACACACACACAAAAGTATAGAATACTCAAATACATTTGAAAATGCTCTTCTTAGATTATATACTGAGCTTGTTTATATTAATTTGTTTAATCAAATTTTCAGTAAACTTTAGCCCTAAATAATAATACAAAATCTGTATTAATAGAATAAATATTGGGCCGGCCCCGTGGCTTAGTGGTTAAGTACGCGCGCTCTGCTACTGGGGGCCCGGGTTCGGATCCCGGGCGTGCACAGACGCACCGCTTCTCCGGCCATGCTGAGGCCGCGTCCCACATACAGCAGCTAGAAGGATGTGCAGCTATGACATACAACTATCTACTGGGGCTTTGGGGGGGAAAATTAAAATAAATAAAATCTTAAAAAAAAAAAAATAGAATAAATATTAACTCTCATGCAATTTTCCCTTAAAATTTTTTTATTTAGAAATAATTTCAGGGCCGGCCCCGTGGCTTAGTGGTTAAGTGTGCGCACTCTGCTGCTGGCGGCCCAGGTTTGGATCCCTGGCGCGCACCGACACACCGCTTCTACAGCCATGCTGAGGCCGTGTCCCACGTACAGCGACTGGAAGGATGTGCAGCTATGCATACAGCTATCTACTGGGGCTTTGGGGGAAAAAATAAATAAATAAAATTATAAAAAAAAAAAAGTTAAGGAAAAAAAGGAAATAATTTCAAATTTACAGAAGTTGGAAGTAAAAAGAACACCCATATACCCTTTACCCAGATTTATCTATCCAAATGTTATTTATCTAACATTTTGCCTCATTTGTTTTTTTACCATTTGCTCTCTTTGTACACATCTAATGTGTGTGTGTGTGTGTGTGTATATATACACACACACACACACACACATATATATATATAAATGAGATAATAATGTCTGCCTTATCTAACCTAGAGGTTTCGTTAAGGATCAAAAATAAGTAACATAGGGGCCAGCCCGGTGGCGCAAGCGGTTAAGTGTGCACGCTCCACTGCGGCAGCCCGGGGTTCACAGGGTCGGATCCCAGGCACACACTGATGCACTGCTTGGCAAGCCATGCTGTGGCGGCCTCCCATATAAAATGGAGGAAGATGGGCACGGATGTTAGTGCCGGGCAGTCTTCCTCAGCAAAAAAAGAGGAGGATTGGCAGATGTTAGCACAGGGCTGATCTTCCTCACAAAAATAAATAAATAAATAAATAAAATAAATGTTTTAAAAAAAATAAGTAACATATAAGAAAACGGCAATAATGTGTGTGTGGGGGGGGGGCCCTCAACCATTTGAGAATAAATTACATGCATCATATAGCCCTTACCCTTAAATACGTCAGTGTATATTTCCTAAGAATAAGGATATTCTCTTACATAACCATAGTGATTAACTTTGATAAATAACAATGCAATATTTTTCTGTAATCTATTGTCTGTATTTCACTTTTCTCAATTGACCCAATAATGTTTTTCATAACACTTTTTCTTCTAGCATAGGATCTTGTCTAGGATCATAGTTAATGTATTTTTTAAAACATGAAAAATACTACATTTTTAACAAGTGAAATTCTAATATCAGCATATATTTTAATTGGCCAACTCAACTATATTTTTAGTTAGTGTTCATGTAAACATTGATCTTTCACTCTAACAAAAATCATTTTTTATAAAAATTATTTTATTCAGAGTAGCAACATTCAGTCACTCAGATTATATATGCAATATCAAGTTTCCTATGGAATCTGTTGCTGCTACTTAAAGTAAAATCAATTTTCTCAAAATTTAGTTTGAGTCTACCATTATCTCTGATAAAATATCACTAAGATTGTATTACTTCATGAAGTGTTTTTCCCTCTATAAATCATGCTGGTACAGTCTACTGGCTCTTTGTTTTACAGTGAAGGTAGCATAGGTCCTTTCACGTAAATGAACAAGCTCAGTTCAAATGAGTCACTGGGTAGGAACAAGAAGTTCACAAGATAATTTGTGGGCTAATTCACATGATCCTACCAATGAAAAATGTGGGGTAATATTGGGTTCTCAGACACATAAGGTCCTGAAATTTCCTTTTTTTCTCACAGTGACACCTGTTAACCCATGCTACTCAGAGTGTGGTCCAGAAGCACCGGCATCATCTGAAAGCCTGTTAGAAATGCAGACTCTCAGGCCCACCTTGGACCTACTGAACTAGAAAGTGTATATTATCAAAGTTTAATTTATTGGTTTCTGAATTTTATGACAGAACTTTTTAAATAACAGTAGTGAAGTGATCCTCTCTACACATAATAAAACCCCTTGGACAATAAAGAATCTTATGACGGGTCAGCCTGGTGGTGCGAGCAGTTAAGTGCATGAGCTCTGCTTTGGCGGCCCGGGGTTTGCAGGTTCAGATCCCGGGTGTGCACCGACGCACCGCTTGTCAAGCCATGCTGTGGTGGCTATAAAGTGGAGGAAGATGAGCACGGATGTTAGCTCAGGGCCAATCTTCCTCAGCAAAAAAGAGGAGGATTGGCATCAGATGTTAGCTCAGGGCCAATCTTCCTCACCAAAAAAAAAAGAGAAAAAAACAACAAATAAATAAAAAGAATCTTAGGAATATCAACTTCTTTATTTGATTTTCATCACAAATTCAAAAGAGGAAAAAAATGCAGGGAGCTATCTTGCATTACTTCTATGACCTTGGTCAAGTTATTTCACCTCTCTGTGCCTCAATTTCCTTATCTATAAAATGGGGAATAAGAAAACCGTTACCAGAACACCTACACCTCCTAAAGTTGTTGTGAAGATTAAATGAACTAATGCGTACAAAGTACTTAGAATGGTGCCTGGCACACAATAATCACTCATTACATTTTGCTATTATTATCATCAATATCATCACACCTTAAGAACTAGTGGTTTAAAGTTGAGACCTTAGTTTTACCACTTGCTGTCTAATGTTATATATTTACCTCTCTAAGCTTCTATTTCTTCATCTTTAAAATGGGGATAATAAAAAAAATTAAAAATAAAAATAAAATTGGGATAATAGTAAGCAACATCACAGAGCTGTAGTGAGGAGTAAATGTGATAATCATAAAAGGGACTAGCTTAGTGTCTGACATACTACATATACAGACATGGAGTTTTGTGATTATGTCCAAGAAAAGGCGACACCAGTATGTTCTTTCTTCTATAACTACAAATACTTGATGATAGAAGACTTAAAAAAAAAAAAAAAAACGGTGCCATCAGACATTTTCTATGTGACAGAATGGACGCAGAACTGGGACACATGAGCGCTGGGCTCTGGCCTCACCTAGCCTCTTGTGAGACTTTGGGCAGGTAGTTAATCAGCCCAGGGTTTAGTTTATCCATTTGGAAAATGAGAGGGTTGAGCTAGGGGACGTCCATGATTATTTCCAGTACTAATACTCAATACGATTATTTATCACCAGCTTACAATTTTTTTCCCCCTCATTTGAACTTGCTTACCTCTATAAAGACCCTATCTCCAAATAAAGTCACATTCTGAGGTACTGGGGATTCGGATTTCAACACATGAATTCTGGCAAACACAATTCAATCCATAACACATGGTTATAGGCTAGCTTGGAAATTTTACAACAACTTGTACAAGGGTATTAAAATATTGTCTAAAAAGAAAAGCAGCAATTTATTTATATCTAAAGTATAAAGCTCAGATTACAAGCATTTAACAAATGCTAAATAGTATATGTTAAGGGCTGGTTAATGGTTCCATAGGTGTGTTCAGTTTGTAAAAATTCATTAGACTGTATACTTATGATATGTGTACTTTTCTGTATGTATCCTGTACTTCGTGAAAACTTTTTTAAATGTCAGAGAAAGAGTATTTCATATAAACCTTAAATTCTAACTCCTCCAGAAGTGGGTCAGCAAGCTTACAGATACAAGTCCAAAGAGAGTAAATTTTAGAACGTTTTTAGACTTGAAATACTCAATCTTTATTTCAGATCCAACAAAAATTGAGAACAAAGATGTCCAGAAAACTTCCTGCTTCCACACTCTCAATCACAGCAGTAATGACTCGAGATCCTAATCCCAACTCCAACCCTAAATAGCTATAGAACTTGGAGTCATAACAGCCTACTTACAGAAGGCTTCAGTTTCTTTATCTAGATTATATTGTATTGACTCTAATTTGCTTTTCTATTCCAAAATCATATGAACCTGATATGGTTCCCTGAATGGTACCGTAAGAATAATTACATATATTTTATGTATTTTTTAAAATTTTTTGTTTATTGCAGTAACATTGGTTTATACCATTGTATAAATTTCAGGTGTACATCATTATACTTCTATTTCTGCATAGATTACATCATGTTCACCACCCAAATACTAATTACAACCCATCACCACAT